AAACATCACCACCTTGAACTCACTTTATTTGTGAGTTATTTGTGAAACATCAGCACCTTGAACATCTTTATTTATTACTTTTGTCATATTTATTAAATTTCTATCCTATCCTTTCATCCAAGAACGATCCTTAGACAACAAACAATTTTTAAAAATGTTCAAACAATTATAGAAATAAAATACTAAAAATAAGTAAATTGTATCTGGATAACTTTTTTGAGAGTGGAGCAGGAACAAGTCACAGTTCCTAAATGCATATACAGAAATTCAGACTAACCCAGTGAAAAGAAGTAGAGGTTAGGTTACATTTTATTATATCCGCTTTTCTGAGAAATGAAGTAAAACCTATGCTAAGTTATATTCAAAAGTAAAAGCTTGTTATTTGCAAGCTATAAAAGTTTCATTTATCTATTTCCTTTTGTGTTGTTTTTAAGGTATTTATCTCCAAAGTCTTGTGGTTTCTTTCCTCCAAAGTTGCTATTGGGAGAATTAAAAAAAGAAAACATTGACTCTCTTTCTGAGGTAGGTACATGTATTAGCATTTCTATATAACACTATATAATTATAGAAGTTAAATTCTATATAATATAGAATATATTTCTATATAATACTATATAGATCGAAATAGCAATAACACTTAGACTTATATACGACTTCACAATGCTTTACAGCCCTCTCTAAGTGGTTTAAAGAGTTGGTATATTGCCCCCAATCCAGGTCCTTGTTTTCCGACCTTGGAAAGATGGAAGGCTGAGTCAACCTTGAGCTGGTGAGACTCGAACTGCCAAACTGCAAATAGCCTGCAGTCAGCAGAAATACACTGCGGTAATGCATTCTTACCACTGTACCACCACTGGTCATTAATATATATGGTTATATAATACTATATAGATACTATATACATTACTGTATAACTTTCTCTTCCTCCCTCCTTTCCCTCCCTCCCTCCCTCTCTCTCCCCACGAAAGTTTTAATTCTCTGAAATTTTTACCTGAAAGTCAAGTACCATCAAATTTTTAATGTTCCAATGTTTCATGATTCATAGTCATCAAAAATCATTTTTTTCCTATACAAAAAAGTGCATGATGGATATTTTGACCTTTGTTTTTTTCCAGGAAAGCATTAAACCTAAAACTCACTTTACCTTGGAAGATGACAAAATAAAAGATGATATAACCATACTATCTTCAGAGACAATTGGAGAAGGAAAAATGCCTGAAGATTTCCCTTTAGAATCAACAGACTCTTATTTAAATATATGTACTACATCTGAATTCAACTGTCATGGCTCTGAATTGTCATCTTCTTCCAGGAGTCAGTCAGAGGAATGTGTTACTAATAGAGAGGACCACGAAGCTGATTTTTTCTCAATGAGCAGTGGTTCCAGTAACAATGACTTTGGAAATAAAAATTTTACAGAAAGTACATGCTTGCTGAAACTTCACAAAAATGACAGCAATGAAGAAATCCTTATTTCTTTGACATCTAGTACTCAACTGGACAGCAAAGATACAACCTGTGAAGAAACAATGGTAATGGGAAACTATCTAATTAAAAATAAAAACCAGAATTGCTCATTGATCACTAAAGAGATTCCAAAGAGAAAATCTCAAGAATCTCCCACCGAACGGACAGGGGATTCATATTTGAATGACAAAAGAAGAAGAATTTTTGTACAAACAGAAGGGAAAGAGATGAACGATATACAAAAGCAGATATATTTGGAGGAGCAGCTTTACAAACGATATAAACAGGAAGAAGAAGATAGGTGTCTGGCTTTGAAAATTCAGAAGGAAATGGACAGAGAACTGAAAACACTAAATCGCAAAAAAGGCTCCCCTGATGAGTATCATTTGCGTCCTACACCATCTAAGGCAGTTGGAAAATCCCCAGCTGTTGGGAAGCACTGCAAACTCTTAAAGGCTTCAAACAGCCAGACAGAAATAAATCAACCCAAACGACAGAGACATTCCCACAGTGAGAATGAGAGGACCTCTAGCAAACATCAGACAAAACCATCTGGGAAAAATGGAAATGTTCTGAGTTGTGAACTCAGCTCTGATTTAAAGGATGTAGAGCTGCCAATCAAACAAAGGACGATTATCCAGATGTTTAAGAAATCTGCAACAAATTGAAACATTTCACCCAAACCATTGTAGATTAATAGAAAATTTTGAAAAAGCTATTCTGAAAAACTGGCATATATTTATCTCATCTAGTATTAGCTGTTTCCAGAATTAATGTGTTACTTGTTCCAGAAACAGCAGCATCTGTTCTGTGCCTTTTTCTTTGAATTCTTGTGTCTATTCTTTAATATATAGATGGTATCAATTACTCTCAATTTTAAGTTGAACTGAATGATAATAGTTTCTGAGTTGTCATAACCATGCCACTGTTGTCTGTGATAAATGCCAGTGATAAATGCCATCTTTAAGACAGACATATCATAAGATACATTCTTATTTTTCTTTGCTGGAATTGTATTTTTGCCTTGCTAGTAATGTGGCTTATGGGTTTCACAAGAAAACAAATCAATTTTCATTGGAATGATTTTGAAATTTGAAATTTGATATTTTGTAGAAGTATAAGAGGCACCAAAGATATTCAATAAGTAAATCACAATTATTTTCATTTGTAAGTAATTTCTAATATATAGATTATATATGACACTAAAATGACAGATATAATTACTATTTCATTACAATTATTTAAGATGTAGCAGTCATAATTCTCTTCTAAACATAGTTCTAATAAATACATCCAACAGAGTTCCCACTCTGATGAGGAAGGTTAATTTAGGGTCTGATAATTACAGCATATATATCCATGTTCTTGAAAACTTTGGTAAGATATCTTAGCATTCAGAATGTTTAGAAAAATAGTAACAATAACAAAAAAATGCAGGCTAAAGTACTGATGTTTACTGTTGCCGTCAATTGTGTCTTTAGAAATCTCCATCCCATTTGTTTTTTGTTCAGCTTTATAAAAATGGATTTTTTTGTTGTAGCTAGGTTAAATAAATCATTCAGACAAATATATATATAAATAATCTGAAGGATTTACTTAAAAGTGACAATATAATAAGCAAATAAAATAATTATTTTTGAAACACTACATTTAGAATTCTTTTCTATCTTTTTGGGGTTTTCATTTTTTGAATTGTTCTCGACTGCCATTATTGCATTCTGGGGAAAAATGGATTAGGTGCTTATACCCAAGCTAATATTGGTATATTTCTCAAAATCCTCTGGTTTTAGGTCAATTTATCTGAAACCTCTCAGTCATCTTTTTAAAACTAAAATCATTTGAAACTCTTGCATACATCATGGCATGTGCCTGTGCATTTTTAATTCTTAGAATGAATATAGTTATGGATAAAAGCCATAGTCTGAATTTATAATGTTCTCAACATGAAATCACATTTTTACTCACAATTATTATCAAAAAGTACCACCAATGATAATTTCAAGATGCTGGGACCATAATTTTATACAGCAAAAGTAGCTTCCAGAGATTCTTGCAGTATGGAAATACATAAAATACATGAAAAGCTGTGTAAACGATGTAATTGATAAGAGTATATATGTCAAGTGCTTTGGTTCTTTCTTATAGATTGGAGGAGTAAAATGTTCTCAGGCATCTCATTCACTTTTACACTAATAGGATATGTTCTTGATTCCTCCTGCTTTTGTAGTAGTTGTTATAAAAAAACAATAGTTATTGTTTTTCCTTTGTTGCACAGGATAGGTAATATTCTGATATTCTGTTTTCCTACTGGCAAACTACTGTTTTCTGCATTAGAATTCTATGTAGCTTCGTTTAATAAGTTCTCGTATTTGCGCTCCAGTTCACGTCTCGCCATCAAACGGAATGGCGCAGTTGGGAAGACCCCGACGATACACACTTAGGTTTCTTTGGTTAGGTTAATTGCATTTGTAGCAATAAGGTAAGGAGGAAATCTCTTGGGACAAGGCGAAGAAGTCTGCAAAATTTTTGAGAGGAAGCTTGAGACAATTGTCAATCGCCGGGACGGAATTCCTCCGGCCACTAGAGGACAGCAATTGAAGTCTCCGATACCATTTCGAGAAGGATGAAACGACTTTTCCTTCTTTACGTCATGCTCTTCATTACGCTTGATATTGAAATTGAAAGCGCGCAAGGGAATTGGGGCGCGGTAAATCTGCGCCTGCGCACTAAGACCGGCAGGTGGCGAGTGTTGTTCGGTGATAGAGGCGGCAAGATGGCGGCGCCCGGGGGCTCTGCTGCCGCCTCAGTGTTGAAAGGGTTAATTCAGCAATTCACCGCCATCACGGGTGAGGCGCGCGAAAACACGGGATAGATTTAAGAGGTTTGAGTCCGGTGCAGCTAAATGGGGGAAGGGGCTTGTGGAGCGGGGTCCGAAACGTTGTCTTCAAGGGACTTGGCGGGAGATAAAGGGGAAGGGACTCCGGTAGGCCGGCGCGGGAATGGGGGAAAAGAAGCCAAGGTGGCACCGAAAAGGAACGCAACGGAGCGAACCGAAAAAGAGAGAACTTCGAGGAGGGAATGCTTCGAAGGAATTGTACAGAAATTCTTTTGTTGGAGGCGAGAGTGAAATAAGACCAGTTCTCCCCTTCGCTTCGGCGACCACTGTGATATTTTCCAGGAAGAACCAGACTTGTAGTTTGCTGGCTCTGTTTATGGTAGACGAGGAAATAGGTGGTAGTTCCGTCCCTCGAAATACCAGTCTGTTTCATGCTCAAACTGCGAGAGACGAAAAAGGATCGTCATCCGCCTTACCTGGGTGTCTATAATGTAAATTCAAAGTCGGGAAAAAATAGAAATCAGCAGAGGTAATAAGTCCAGCCAAATTCCCATTTTAAAGGGTCGGTGGGAACGTTCTGGCCTCGGGGGTTAGAATTGTAAAAATAAAATATTCCCGAGGAATTTTTGCGTTTCTATTTAATCTCCGTTCTGATTATATGAAGGTCCCAAAGCATGAATATTACTAGAAAAAAAACTGTTGGGTGTGGGGAAAAACAGTTGTCCTGAGGGGTGGAGGAGAATCCATAATATCTAATATTCTGTTTTGAACAGCAACAGATCCATGCCAAATGTCTAATCATTCTAGAATTAAAAGAAAGGACTGATTGTCCTTTCTTGTTTGCTCTTTAATCAAAAGGTGGTGCCTCTAAAAAAAGGAGTTTCATCCAGTAAGGATTACAAGCCTTCATGGACAAATGCTTGACGAGATACCCAATCCTTTTAAAAACCTATTCAGTTTATTAAAAATATGGCATGACGCGTGCCAGAAATGTATTTTCTTGACTGAATTCTGAGTGTAAGTGATGTTCAAATGCTTCAGTCAGATTTCAGAAAGGAGCTTGGTTTAGGATTGGAGTGCATGCAGAATTTCTAGACCCAGTGCCTAATACTTTTGTTGGAATAGAAAATATTATTTGGTGAAATATTGGAGAACTAGTAGTCACTATTGACCTGAGGAAAATAGGAGGAAGGAGAATTGTGTGTGTTCGCTCCCTTGAGTTATAAGTCTAATTCTTTCTATTCAGAGTTTTATGTGTTATTAGTGAATATAAAAAGTCCCATTCATTTAAGCCTTTCTGAACTAACTGAAGGCTGGAATGATATCTATACTGATAGCTGAGAGTAAATTCCATTAAGCTTGGTAGAATCTATTATTGAATTAGCATGCATAGGAGTGCTCCGTGAAGATTACAGGTAGTCCTTGACTTACGACCACAATTGAGCCCAAAATTTCTGTTGTTAAGAAACATTTGTTAAGTCAATTTTGCCCCATTTTACAATCTTTCTTGCCACAATTCACTACAGTTGTTAAGTTAGTAACACAGTTAAGTGAATCTGGCTTCTCCACTGACTTTGCGTATCAGAAGGTTGCAAAAGGGGATCGGACACTGCAACTGTCACAAATATTGATTAGTTGCCAAGCCTCTAAATTTTGATCACATGACCATCGGGATGCTATAATGGTTGTAAGTGTGAAAAACAGTCATAACTTATTTTTTTCAATGCTGTTGTAACTTTGAACAGTCACTAAATGAACTGTTGTAAGTCAATTACCTGTATATGGACAGTTTTATTGGTGCTGTAAAACATATTCCAAAAAAAATGTTACATGTTTTAGAAGCTTTCATTGTATTTCATTGTGAAATCTTTTTTTCTATGTATTACTATTATCCTGTTATTTCTGAGAAAAAATGTACTGCACTAAGTTTAACTGCAGTAGTTTCTGGAAAAGGAAATAACATGAAGTTAAATAGTTAATATTTCAGATATAATTTAATATAGATGTAAAGGTCCTTGTATATTGTTTTCCAATAATGGAAATGATGTGATGTTTTGTTGAGAAAGAAGGAAAGCTAAATGTAAGAAGCCTTTTTTAAACAAACCAAAACAAAAACACAAAGTTTTCCAGGTGTTTTATACTACAGTTCCAATCAGTCAAAGCCAGCATGGTTCATGTCAAGTGATTGTAAGAGGTGTAGTCCACGAAGTGAAGGGTACCCTACAGCAATGATGGTGAACCTTTTTGTTGTGTGCCAAAAGCGCGTGCGTGCAAGCACCTACAGTGCAATGCGCCCCACCTGTGCATGTACGAACAACACTCCCTCCCTGTCCCCTTACCTGCACTGCGCATGCGCGTACCTCCCAGCTGATTGTTTTGGCCTGTTGGAGGCCGTTTTCGCCCTCCCAGAGGCTCGAGGGAAGCCTCTGCAGCCCCGGGAGACCGAAAAACGGGCCTTCCGGAAATACCGGAAGTGCCCGTTTTCAGCCTCCGGAGGGCCTCTGGAGCCCGGGGAGGCTGTTTTCGCCCTCCCAGAGGCTTGAGGGAAACCTCTGGAGGCTGAAAAATGGGCCCATTGAGGCACTTCTGGTGTTTCCAGAAGGCCCATTTTGCAGCCTCTCAAGACTGCAAAGGCTTCCCTCCAGGAGGGCAAAAACAGCCTCAAACGTGCCAAAAATCAGCTGGGAGGCACGCACATGCTCAGTGCAGGTAAGTTTGGCTGGGGCTCGTGTGCCCGCACAAATGGCTCTGTGTGCCACCTGTGGCATGCGTGCCATAGGTTTGCCATACAGCCCTATAGTCTACCCTTTTTTGGGGTAGTTGGATCAAAGGGAATAGAATTATAGTTGACGGTTTTAACACTTCCCTCCCAAGCTATTATCAATAATTATTACTGTTGTTTAATTGTACTGAGACCTCTTTTTTCATTCTTTAAGAATATGGTATGAAGATTAAGCCTGGTCAAACTTTGAAGCAGATGAAAACTCCTCAAACTTCTTGTGTGTTTCTGGTTACTTCAGAATTAAGATAATATGAGACATACATATACTCCAGAGTCCTCCATAGATGCAGTCGTGTCGGGGTGGGGGTGCGGAAGTGTTTCCAGGTTGAAAGGATTAGATTGTTCTCCTTGCACTAAATGTCATAGGAATACTCCATTGAATACTCCAAAGGATGTGTGAGAGGAGATAGTGACAGAGTATACTAAAATCTGTTAAAGAAAATTGTATTGAAATGGTTTTATTATTGGTAAACTTTATACACACACACACACACTTTTCATCATGCAAAAAAAGGGAAAATTATAGAATTGAGATAGCCCATATTCTAGACTGGCCTCAGACACAGAAACTAGTAAGTGACCTTAGGCCATGGTCTCTCAGCCCTACTTGAAAAACTTCTCAGAAAAATCTAGCCAAACCATCTCAATATTATTGCCAAGAAAATTGTAGGATGTCTCCATAAATCATTAAGAATACAAAAGCAACAAAACAGAATAAAGTATTTACATGACTGGATTGTCTATTTTTAATATATAAAAATATTTAGTCTATTGTAAAAATACATTATATACACTTTATTAATATATTTTTTCTCTTTCTTTTAAAGCTTTTGTTGAAACTTAATACAGTTTTCATTGTGTCATAGGTGCCAGTGAAAGTGCAGGCAAACATATGCTTGAAGCATGTAACAATAATCTGGAAATGGCTGTCACTATGTTCCTTGATGGTGGAGGAATTGCTGAAGAACCCAGCACTAGTTCTGCAAGTGTATCAAATCTGCGACCACATACAGAGTACGTAAAGAGGATAATTAAATTAGCTTTGAAATTTGTACGTATATTTCAGATATTTTTGCTTTTAAGTTCTTAGTTTTTCTTATGCAGCTGCTTCTATTCTATTGTTGCTCTGGGTATCTACTTAATCATCAAAACTTTTAAAGCACAGATCCTTTGTGAGACTTGTATTACCACTGCTAATTAACAAAATTAACAGAGAACAGTATAATCATTCTAGCATAATGATTCAGGCAACATCTTTCTAGTTTATCTGGATTCTTTTGAATTTTCAGAGACTAAGGAACAAAATAAACCTGCAGCATAAATTCTGCTATTCCCCACTTGACTGATTTATATGGCTGGGTGGGATATGTGTGGATGGATCTGAGAGGTGGATGATACTTTACTGCAGATTGATGCCTTTAGTCTTGAAGGAAGCAGTATTGTGTCCCCTTCTAAAATGACCATTTCTTGATCCAATTGTGTGATACAGCTACTGGCTGTTCTCTCTTGGGAAGGTTTTGGAGAAAGTACTAAATCTTCAGTTTCACAGATCCTTATAGGAAATAGATTTTATTGGGTCTTTTTTTGGGGGGGGTTCAAATCAAGGCATGGAATATTAAATAGTTTATTTAATATTTTCTTATGTAAGTAATTTTTTATGGAATTGGTGAAGTACAAATCAAAAACTTAATTATGGAATTGCATTCTATATAAATTTCTTTTTTTCTTGCTAATTTGTGCTTGACTTATCTATGATTTTATGTTCTTCATACCTATATTGAAACATTGGCAATGTTTCCCTTTGCACGAATACCAATCTTGAAACCAGACTTTCAATGTCATTGCAGTTGATTGTAGTTCATCTATATTTTGTATAATAACATTCCAATATTCCATTTGCCCAGTATCTGCACTACCATCTAGAATTGATATTTTGCCTCCTTTTTTGGATTATTTTGTTTCCATAAAATTTCTCCTCCCTCATTTGCTCTATTAAACAATACTCAACTGCATAGCACCTGCAAATACTATTAGATACAAAAAGCTCTCACATCCAGTCTAAACGGAAAGTATTCCCCTTTCCAGTCGTGTCTGACTCTGTGGGGACCGAGTTTATCTCCATTTCTTAGCCAACGGTACCAGCGGTGTCCAAACAACTGGGGCAAGTAATGGCAGGGCAGGTCTTGGACTTGGGCTGTCAGCTTTTCAGTGTCTTTAACCATTGAGCATCACGCCCCCATGCATCCAGTCTAGAAGCATTGAAAAATTGTTTTAGTTGAAAACTGTAGAAATGAAGCTAACACCACTGGAATTCCTAACAATTGCTTATTGCTCATTTGTCAAGAGGCATTTGGAATAATTGCTAGTTTATGTGCTTTCCAAGGAATATATACTGGTTTAATTTAAGAACTAATTTTAATATTTTTCAACCAATTGTAGTCAGGTTGACTCTTCACCTACCTTTTTAATAAAGATTTATTAAAATGAAAGTGTGCAAACAGGTCAGAAATTTTGTCTTGTTTCTGACATAAAATGGTAAAGATTAGGTCCAGATATTTGAACACTTTTTCCTTTTATGTAATCATAAGATAATTTCCATACATTCTTTTCTTATTCCTCATAATAGTTTGAACGCCGTTGCATGGTTTCAATATAGGTACAAAGAACAGATTTTCCTCTTGCCTAAGTAATACTGACATTTTCAAGCTATTATGTGCTTTTTGTCTTCATAGAGATGAAGTGAGGGCACCTATTCCTCAAAAACAAGAAATTCTGGTAGAACCCGAACCCTTATTTGGTGGTAAGCTTTTTTATGTTTACATTTGGTCTTCAAAGAATGAACAGAAATTCTACATTGTCTTTACAATGAAGATGGTGAGATCTTATAGTATGAAAAATATGTATAACAGACAACTTTTTTTTAATACCCACTAAAATAGTCTGACATTATTTTTATTAGTTCATTCCTGTTACTGCTTTTATTTTGTAAATAAAAAACTGAGAGGAGTATTAATATCACTATAATAATTCCTAATAAGATTCTGTTTAAGAAGATATATATTTGTGTTATGTACAGTAGATTTTTCTCTGGATTTGGAAATGACAGTGTATATGTCCTGAAAGTATGGTAATTCAGCCTGGAAAATTTGGGAGTCTTTGTGTTTATTATCATAAGTGAGTCTTGGATTTGTTTATTTTTTTAAAAAAAAATCTGATTATGCTACTAGATTATGACCCAACAAAGTAATAGGTTATACCTTCATGCAGTCAGACACAAAATAGCTTGTCATAATAGAATGGATTTTATAATTATATCTGTTTTGAACATGTATCTCTTGGTACGTAAAATCTATGATACATGCTATGCTCTATTAATACAGAAAGCATGGGGATAAAAAGTCCTGGCATCTTTCCACCAGAGTGAGTAGGAAAGAGCCACCTATCTTTTGGTTTATTCTTTTCAGGAGTGCATGGTAATAGAAAGTTGGGTAGAATGATTATATATTCTTCTTTTTCAAAAGTATCACAAATTCATTATGTCTCATTCACTCATGCTCACCATTTCTTGTTGCTTATGCATATTTCCTCCACCATCACCACTCTTAAGTACATAGTATTTTGTTTGTTTGTTTAAGAAGCCCTGTCTTCTTTATCAAACAATTAGGCCGTAACAGAATCTTCATTGCAGTCACTTAATTGCCTCATGATGAGCCTCAAATTAAAGAAAGGATGTTCTTTGTACAAGAATGGGTTCTAATCTCAAGCTGTCATAAATTCTGTTTATTAGTTGGCCACAGAGACAAAATAGGGATTTTTCTAATGTACAGTCTCCTTGGTGCCTGGGGAGCTCTTCCCAACTGCGTGGCACCTGGGTACACAATTACTCCATAAGAAGATATGTTTGCAACTGATAACTTCCTTTGTCCTGTAACAGCCCAACTGATTTCGCCCTCTTTCAAATCATTACAGTTGAGATACAAATAATCATTAATTTTCAATAACATTTGCAACAACCAACATACTAACCAAATCCAAGGCCAGAAGTATGGCGCTGCTATTACAAGCAATCCTCCTCAGTCCCCAGTTGCAACTACCTGTCATCTTTCCAACATAAATTCCAGCTCATAGGGCTTCCACAATGAGCACATTCCCACAGCAGCAGGGCTAGGAGCCTTTCTACTGCCAGTCTTGTCTCCCAGCTAGAGATAGCTTTGTTCAAAGTCCATAGCTCACCCCATTGGAGTTATTTGTGTTTTAGTTGGCACAGTGATGACTCTTGTAAGAGCCTCTCGATTACCAGGCCCCACAATGCTCCAGACTGGTCAGCAATGTACCCAAGGCCTTTTATAAAGCCAAGAGTTCTCTAGCCCTCTCCAGTGGTCTCCTCAATATGTCATGTTTTCTTCTTTGTCCCAACCCAAGTGCAGCCATGCAGCAATCTCTCTTTCATCTTCTGAATCCCCAAAGTAGAAAAATCGGCAGAATTTCTACCTCTGGCTTCCCACTCACAGTTTAAAAGCTATAAGAACATTATTGTGACTGCTGTTCTACCCTGGGGATGATTTTGAAATTCCAAGGATGGCCACATCCTTTCTTTTCTCTAGGAACAGTAATTTCACAACAAAATGCAGAGCGCTTCACTGTGCAAGAGATTTAACTTTTGGATGAAGTCATCCATGCACCATGTTGCTTCAAATCCAGAAGATCAGTCAAATGGTTATGGGAGCCATTGAACATACAGCTCAGTGCAGCAGCTCCAATGTAGAATCAGCTTACTAGGCTTCAGGCATTCTTTCGGCTGAATTCAGAAGCAAACTCCAACTAACCAAATCTTGAGATTAAAGCTTCGTTCTCCAAGCATGTAGGTTGGTTTCCAAATGTTTTGTTACCAGGCTAGGTTACATCTTCAGTGGAGTTTAGGGGATGTCAGTGTCAGTGTTCTGTTTATAAGGGCTTCAGGTGTGGGTGTGTCAAATGAGAGTCTTGTGACAGGTCAGCTGTGAATCATCAATGAGTCTTGTGATGGGTCTTGTGATAAGGAGATCAGGTCAGTGTTGTTGGGAGGTGAACTGCTGATGGGGGGGAATTGCATGTGTTGGTTGAGGGTCGATGCTGTCTCTGGTTGGTTGTGCGGTTGATTTGGATTCTGAGGTAATTTCCAATTTTGAATGGAAGATTTAACCAAATCCTCCATTTAAAAAACAGAACACCAGCATACAAATGGATTGTTCCCCATTGCGGCTTCTTTTTCCACATTGTTGTTTTCCACAATATACTGAACCTATCCCAAGTGATTTGAATACTTTCTGAATACGTTGTACCTATCCATTCTAATCATTTTCACAAGTTGCCTTTCTGCAATTTACATTAATATTGGTGAGAATGATAGGAATCATATTGCTACACGTATTATTTTCCATCAGACTTGAATCTGAAAAAATGACTGCAAAAACTAGTCTGTAAGAGACTAGTTAAGAACAGTTCTTTTGTCTTGCCAATTGGTCAAAATGTCTATTTTAATCCACTTTTGTCTGTGGCATGGTCTCACTGGATTTCTATAAAGCAGTAGTATGTTAACTGATTATTTTCATTATCATTCCAGACACAGAGGTTACCATTTTTATAGTAGCTACTACTGGTATTTAGATGTTTCCTTTGTACTACCCTTTTCTGATCAGTTACTGTCCTAGGTGACTCCCTAAGTGAAGTTTGTATTTTTTGTGCCAGAATGCAACTTAACACTTTCTCATTTTGAGCCACATTAAAATATTAAACAAGCGTAAAGATTCACTTGAAGATCTTCATTTAACCCATTGTTTTCACCAGCCCAATTACGTAATATTATAAGGAAACTTGGCTATCTTCCTGTTCATTGCTAACTCCTAATTGCCCAGAAATAAATATAAAAATACTCCACCAGATCTGATCCCTATGGGATCCCATTGAATATTTGCCCAACTTGAAAATTAACTATTTAGTTCAACTATTTCATATTTTTGGGCAGTTTCTGCACCCTGAGAACATCTGACTTTACTCAGTATTCTACTTTATTAGGTCGTTTTGAAAAGTCTAAATAAATAGCATCAGCTGAATCATTTTTGTGCAATTTAAATGAGCCAAATATCACCCTCTTCCTATGTTAATGAGTCTCCACAATATCTATCCTTTGAATATATACACTGCTCAAAAAAAATAAAGGGAACACAAAAATAAGACATCCTATGGGAACATTCTAATTATTTAATGTTTTATAAAATATAAGTGAAGAGAAATAGGGGGGGGAATTAATTATGGAAAGCTTATAAGTGTTCCCAAGGAAGTATGATATTTAATTGAAAAGAAATGTTAAAGATGTTAAGATTTTAATGAATATTAATGATAGAACTGAATTGGAATGGAATGAGTGTTTTAATTACATATATTTATAATCTCTTTTTAAGAATATAGTGTGTATTTTAAGAATGTACCAAGCAGAATTCGATTGGAATGTATTATATTGAATGTTATAACCTTAAGGTATACATTGAAGCTTAAATAAGAGTTGAATGCATAAAATTAAAAGATATAAAGGTGTCATACTCCAATTAGTAACTACAGGAGAAAATTTGTTTAATGAGAAAAGATAATATGAAATTGAAACAGGATAGACAAAAGTATAAATATAATGATTTGAATTGAGATGAGATAATCAAAATAAAATTGAGAAAATTAACAGAGGGAAAAAACTATGTAGAAAATGTAAAACAGTAATAAGATATGGAATAGAACACAAAAATGAGCATGAAATTGAGTTTGTGTCTGTATGAAGTGTAACCCAGGACCATGCTATTTTCAAAAAAAGATGTTTTATTTGTATTAAGGTTTTTTTTTTTGTGAAAACCCAAATAAAACCTTAAAAAAAAAAAGACATCCTAGATCTGAATGAATGAAATATTCTTATTAAATACTTTGTTAATTTCATAGTTGAATGTGCTGACAACAAAATCACACAATAATTATCAATGGAAATCAAATTTAGCAACCCATGGAGGTCTGGATTTGGAGTTACACTCAAAATTAAAGTGGAAAAAAACACTACAGGCTGATCCAACTTTGATGTAATGTCCTTAAAACAAGTCAAAATGAGGCTCAGTAGTGTGTGTGGCCTCCACGTGCCTGTATGACCTCCCTACAATGCCTGGGCATGCTCCTGATGAGGTGGCGGATGGTCTCCTGAGGGATCTCCTCCCACACCTGGACTAAAGCATCCCCCAACTCCTGGACAGTCTGTGGTGCAACGTGGCGTTGGTGGATGGAGCGAGACATGGTGTCCCAGATGTGCTCAATTGGATTCAGGTCTGGGGAACAGGCGGGCCAGTCCATAGCATCAATGCCTTCGTCTTGCAGGAACTGCTGACACACTCCAGCCACATGAGGTCTAGCATTGTCTTGCATTAGGAGGAACCCAGGGCCAACCGCACCAGCATATGGTCTCACAAGGGGTCTGAGGATCTCATCTCGGTACCTAATGGCAGTCAGGCTACCTCTGGCGAGAACATGGAGGGCTGTGCGGCCCCCTAAAGAAATGCCACCCCACACCATTACTGACCCACTGCCAAACCGGTCATGCTGGAGGATGTTGCAGGCAGCAGAACATTCTCTATGGCGTCTCCACACCCTGTCACGTCTGTCACATGTGCTCAGTGTGAACCTGCTTTCATCTGTGAAGAGCACAGGGCGCCAGTGGCGAATTTGCCAATCTTGGTGTTCTCTGGCAAATTCCAAATGTCCTGCACGGTGTTGTGCTGTAAGCACAACCCCCACCTGTGGACGTCGGGCCCTCATACCACCCTCATGGAGTCCTTTTCTGACCGTTTGAGCATCCACATGCACATTTGTGGCCCGCTGGTGGTCATTTTGCAGGGCTCTGGCAGTGCTCCTCCTGTCCCTCCTTACACAAAGGTGAAGGTAGCAGTCCTGATGCTGGGTTGTTGCCCTCCTAAGGCCTCCTCCATGTCTCCTGATGTACTGGCCTGTCTCCTGGTAGCGCCTCCATGCTTTGGACACTACGCTGACAGACACAGCAAACCTTCTTGCCACAGCTCGCATTGATGTGCCATCCTGGATGAGCTGCACTACCTGAGCCACTTGTGTGGGTTGTAGACTCCGTCTCATGCTACCACTAGAGTGAAAGCACGACCAGCATTCAAAAGTGACCAAACCATCATCCAGAAAGCATAGGACCTGAGAAGTGGTCTGTGGTCACCACCTGCAGAACCACTCCTTTATTGGGGATGTTTTGCTAACTGCCTATGCTTTCCACCTGTTGTCTATTCCATTTGCACAACAGCATGTGAAATTGATTGTCAATCAGTGTTGCTACCTAAGTGGACAGTTTGATTTCACAGAAGTGTGATTGACTTGGAGTTACATTATGTTGTTTAAGTGTTCCCTTTTTTTTTTTTGAGCAGTGTACTATAAAGTTCCAGCAGCATTAATGAGGCTTATTTCTGAATTGACAGGTATAAAATTAAGCGACTAGTCAGTTATTTAGGCATACATACATTTAGAATGTAAAATCTGTTCATATCTACAAGAGCAAGTGAATTGAAATGAAGAAATATTTCTGTGACCAAATCTGAGAGAGTTACAGTAGATTTTCAACTTTTATATGACTATCAAGTAGCTATTTTTACTATGACGCTGATGGTTTTTCTAAGGTAATTATGCATTAGTAAACATGTTATAATGGTATTAATATAAATAATGTCTGCCATAGATAAAATGAATAGTGAAACAGTCTCAAGATTTCTTCTCAAGCTCTGGAGTATTCCTGCAGCAAAGATGGTAGAAATATAGTCTTCCACTGACTTGGCCTAGAGGTGGAGCTCTTGCCTCCCAATCAGGAGGCTCTGAGTTCGATCCTAGGTAGAAGCTAATATTTGGAATAGACTGTCCTGCTCAAGCAGGGGGTTGGACTAGATGACCTCCAAGGTCCCTTCCAACTTCATTATTCTATGCCTATGTCCAAGATCCCTCCTCCTAACCCTTATGTTCCGTGACTCAAAGATAATAGCATTTCACTAAGAAATTTGAGCAGGACTGCTTTGGATAGTGGAACAATAGAGAACAAAAGCAATCATGGGTCAGATAATATGTTCTGTAAGTTATAATTACATCACAAACCAGCCGTTCTTAATACCTTCCTTATATTTATGTGGCCTGCACATTGCAGATTTTTGATTCAGTTGTAACAATTAGTTTACTTTAGTTGCCCTTTAATTTTACTTTTGGCTTGCCATTGTATGGATACCAATGGATATTGCTGTTCCAGTCTTTCTGATTTTAAACTTTTTGAGTGGGTAGAGGGGCAAATTTAATTTATTTTGAGTCTATAAACTGCTTTAAAATCATTAAGATAGAATAGCAACCTGTAAATATTTTGTCTTCAAATATACATTAAGATAAGCATGCAGGAACTGGAAACATAAGATCTAATGAATTCATGTATGAAAATAGTATGATGCATTATTGGTGTCCTAGAATTTGTTTACATCCTTTACTATAGATATGTACCACAAATCCACAATGTGGCTGTATAATAAGATTTTATTATTAATCTGTTTATTAAATTCTGTTCCTATTAAGCACCAAAAAGACGTAGACCAGCTCGTTCAATATTTGATGGCTTTCGGGATTTCCAGACAGAAACTAGTAGGTATCTGTGGATAATTATATTCATAACTTTTTGTTTCTTTTATGGTTTATGTCCAAGGGTAACAGTATAGGCTCCTTAGAACTTTTAGTAATGGTTCTACAGTAGAGTTCAAACAATTTCATTTTGCATTATAAGAAATTTGCAATACTAGCAAGGAAAAAAAAAATCAAAGCCATTGCTGTATTTACACAGTAAATGCTTTATATTTCCATATGTGCAAGGCATTGTTTTCCAAGGAAGATAGTTTTTGAAGTACGAATAATCTCTTTGTCAGCATAAGAAAGTAGGTGCAGTCAGAAAAATCCCAGTTCATTTCAGGGATTAAAAGCTAGAATGGCAAGTAAAAAAAAAAAGGCAGCAGTGGCAAGCCAATTTGATATTACAGTCAGAAAACTGGGTGAACTCACCAGATATTGAGCCCTTTCTCCTTACCTTAGTTTTTATTATGACTAGGATTTGAAAACCAGTTTAATTGCAGTAACTAATGTATTCATGGGATTCCACATTGGGAAAATAATTTCTCAGATTGAAAAAAGGGCTGGAGTTATTGATGCGTGCCATCATCATTACAAAAACAACATGCTTCCAGCAACCTTTCCATCCACTTTCATTGCAACAGCACAAATACATCATGAACAAGAATAAGCTGAGAATTTAATTCAGTAATGATCAGAATCTTTAATCCAGTTCTTTCAGAGGTTTCATTACATTGATATGAGTTCAAAAGCATCATTACATTGATATGAATAATTTTGCAATCAATTTGGTTAATTTTATTTAAATTAAGAGATAATTTTACTATTTCTGTTATATAAAAAATGCATTTGCTAACTAGCACATTTACCCTGCTTTTCATTAATACAAAAAAATGTGTCCTTTGGATTCAGTGTAAAGGAAGAATCAAGTCATCAATTATTCCATGCATATAAAACAAGTCATGCCTGAGAAAAATGGTTTTGTTCACTGAATGCCTTTGTTTTTTGACATTTAACCATATGGATAGAAACTTCATTTAAATATATTTGAAAACTGATTTTTCTGTTTTTTTTCTCTATATATAATGTCCAGTATTACCAGCATTAGTGTTTTTGATTGTTTTGCTATTACTATTAAACAATTGAGAATGTAATTAAGTGATAGAAGAAATAGTAACAATACATATTGGATAATAAGAGCAACTTCACAAATAATAATGAATCATTATAGTAGGAAACATGCAGTCATAGTTATGGTATGATATTATATAACCTGGAATTGATTGAATGCTAGTGCAACGCTAGACCTAATGGGAGAAGATGTATGAAATATAAGGGAACTATGATGTACAAAAGATCCATTCATCCACACTAACTGAGAAATGGTTAGTTACCCAATGTTTCAACATAGCAATGAGGAAGCTGCTCTCATAACTTGAAGTAGATCAACTACATGTTACAACCCAGACTTAAGAAGAACTGGAAGAACAAATGGATGTGCAGCCAACACCTGAAGTTGGATCGCCACTGCCACTCCCTCCATTATAGAGCACAACAGCTAATATGAGGCATAAGATCACAGATAAAGTAACTATAGTCAACCCTTGGGACTGGTTACCAAGGCTCAGTGGAGAAGTACCATCTGATAGTATCCTAGAAGACTCCCTCATAACAATCTCTGTTATCACCATAACCGAAACCAATACATTAGTATAGAATTTAGTACTGTAATCCTTGAGATACTTAGTTACACAATTAAGGAGAATAGTGCCTGCAGCTGTGGGAAATGAGATTAGAGGCTATATTCAAGGCAACTTGGTAAGAGATTAGTCAGTTGGTGGAAATACAAAAAGGTGTGAACATTCCAGCCTGTAAAGCACCTCCAGCCATCAAATGATTGTTACCTTTAGAGCAGGTCACAGCATTCCACATGACTGAGATTGATAGTGTATTTTGCAGCTTTCTGGCTTTTTTGTCAATTTCATACTATTGACCACTGCAAAAAAGATAATGACTTTTTATCAGATTTCCAGTTCCAATTGCACATATAGTTCAGACTGATGAGATGGAACTATCAATGAGTCACATAGCAGATATAGAGACTAGCTACAAGTACCTTAGTATCCTGCAGTCACTTGGGAACCACAATGAAGAGGCAAGGAAGATAGCAGCATCCAAATACCACCAAAGGATTAGACAGGTCTTAAAGAGACAGCTTAATGGAAAGAATAAGACCCATGCCATCAACATGCATGCCCTGCGAATATAATAAATTGGCCAAAGGAGGATATGGAGACTGCTGATGTGAATAACCAGAAGCTCTTCACAATGTATGGAGGTTTCCAGTCCAAGTCCAATACCCAGGGAATGCACACCAGCTGGAAAAAGGGCAGGTGGGGTCTGGTGAATGTCAAAACTATTGTCCTGGATGAAACTTGGAGCATCCAGGAGTACATCACTAAGATGGCACCCAAACATCAGCTGCTGAGAAAATGAGGCAGCAGCAGCAAACATAGGAGGAAGATCAAGGAGAGGAAGTGCCATAGTAAGATAAGACTCTGCATAGGATATACTATAGACCAGGGGTGTCAAACTCATGTAGTCATGGCAGCGTCACAGAACATATTTGGACTTTCCCCCCTTCGCTAAACGGGTGTGAGCATGGCTAGCGTGTGATGCATCCGGCCCATGGGCCAGGAATTTGACAGCCGTGCTATAGACAAATAGCTGAGGTGACAGACATTGGGTAATCCTACCAGTGGCTGGAAAGGGCTGTACTAAAGGCAACAATGAGGCACTGATCATAGCAGCACAAGAACAGGCATTAAGTACCAGATCTATAGAAGCAGTGGTATACCAAACCAGACAGGACCTGATGTGCAAGTAATGTAGAACGCTTCAGACACAGTCTTAATATATAGTGGCAGGTTATCCAATGCAAGCAGAAACACCATATACTATATGGCACAACCAAGTAGTTGGCACTGTATACAGAAATATCTGCACAGTGAATGGGCTAAACCATCCCAAGTCCATTCCAGATTTTATATGTAGATAAAAGGAGCACATGAAGAAGGGCAAGAATTTGATGAAAGGAGTAAAAACTGGATACTATAGAGATTTACTATTCATACCTAACTTTTTGGAAACCAATATTTTAATTACTGTATATTTTTAAAAAGAGCTGGTTAATTATTAACACATTGCATTGATATTAAAGGAAGGGAACAAAACAGTCTTTGAAACGAGACCAAAAACTGTAATTCTGTAATATTTAAATATTCTGTATTTAAATCACAAATTTAGAATTTATTTATTTAGGAGATTTATATTGCTGCCTACTCGCACATGGCAACAAAAGGCAGCTTACAAGAATATAAAAAAATATATAAACAAAACTAATAAAAGAGAGAATCATACATAATAAAATAACGCCATGCCCTGGCACAACACATCATAGGAGCCATTTAATGGTCTCCATCCTACTCTGCAATGCCTTATGTTTTATTACTGAACATGATGATGATAACGATAGATAGATAGATAGATAACCAACCAAAAGTGGTGAACATATATACATAATCCTATTTTCTATTTTCTTCACAACAATTCTGTGAGGTAGGTAGGTTGGGCTGAGAGAGAGTGACTAGCCCAGCGCCAGATTGTCACACTGTCAGCTTTCATGCAAAAAATGTATAACCATGTAATGGCTCTTACTAAAAGATATTTAGTAGAAAGCTGATTCAGGCTAATCACATTAGTACAGTCACGTTGCACTTGATGAAAGTAACTGAATTTGCTCTTGTGAATATTTTGTCTTCTTTGTTTTTCTTTGGGGCTGTACAGTTCGGCAGGAGCAAGAATTGAGAAATGGAGGAGCCATAGATAAAAAGCTCACTACCCTTGCAGATCTCTTCAGGCCTCCAATTGATCTGATGCATAAAGGAAGCTTTGAAACAGTAGGTCATTTTGATGCATTGAATTTTGGATTGGCTTTGGTATAGCTGTGCATGTGCATGTGTAAACAGTCGTATCATGATAATGTGTATAAATAATTCCAGCAATCTGCCTTTTTTATTACTGCAATATAAGAAGTTGCTTCTAATTAATAACATCATTTGAAGAAGTATCTTTTGATTATATCCATTAGTCCATTACTGTGTTCCCTCATTAAGAAGTATTCAAATAGAAGTTAGTGATTAAGAAATAGATTTGAATAATATGAAATTAAATGATGATTTTCTAATGACAAGCTATATACATAAACTAAAGATTGGTCTTTATTTCTGAGTTTAAAAAATCTAATCAATCATTTCCTATAATTCTTGTAGAAAGAATTATAATTCAATACTACATTATTGTATTCTACTATATTGTATATTACACTAATACAATTTGAATTATAATTATAATTCAAAAATATACCACATTGTTTCCTTTACATTAAAAATTAAGAGCTCTAGTATGACATGATTGAGAAAGATTTTTACTGGAGAAAAATATGACCAAACTAAACAGTAGTGGAATAGTGGAATTGATTGTTCGTTGTTTATTATTTGGTTAATAAACTTGGAACTGTATATTTGGATTTTGCAAATTGAAGCAGATAACAGTTTGCTAAGTTACTAATCTTTAAACTATTCCTTATACTTCCTGGTGTTAATATATATTAAATGAACCTATTGAAAAGATTAAAAACTCTTGGAGTAGAATTTACAAAAAAAAAGTCACGAGAGAAATTCCTGATTTCCTACCGCCCGCCCCCCCCCTCCTTGCAACAATTTTCTTGTTGCATCAAGGGGGAAATGGAAATAAGCTTATTCAAAAGTAATACATTTTGTGCAGCATTTATATGTGAAAATAATATCAGCTTTTTTATATATTTTACTTGCATTTGAAGTCACTTTCAGAGTTAATTTTCCTATCAAGACTTGATTGCCCTTGAGGCAGTGTACTATTTGCCTGTAAACATATACTAAATCCAGAGTAGAGGTTTTTTTTCTCAATCATGTTCAGTGAAGCATTAGAAAAATCTAAAGCTCTCTCACTATGTCTCACTTCTTTCTTTTCTACGTAAATATACATCTATATTTGAATGTGTTTAGAGGCTCACAACCCTCAACTTACTATAACTAACTCTGCTGTGCTTTGTTTAATTTAAAAGTCTCTATTCTGCATTATCTCTAGTATTAATATTTTATCACCTTAGTTTTTAGTACCTTAAGGCAGAATCTGGTGTTTTTGTTTGATTTACATCATAACATTGAGTTTTACTTTAAGCACTGTATTTTCAATTTATTTACTTCATAATTTGAATTTTCATAAAATGGGATTGACCACGTATTTAAGAAGCTTATTTATTTATTTAATAATATGTGGTCTTTAACAATTTTCTACCGTAGTTTACCATTAACCAAGTTAGATATAGGAACTTATCAAAATAGACCTTTTTCTCCCCAGACACACATACATGCTTAGTCATCACTCTGTTCCCTTCCATATTAAAGAACATTGTGGAAAGTGCAGAAAAAAGTAAAAAGTAGTAAACAAAATAACAGGAGTTAAGTAAAAAAGAAAGGAATCACTATATCTTCTCCTAATATTTATTGTTGCCAGCTATCCTAGCTTCCACATCTGTCCACAGATTAATCGATTCCCTTTTCAGTCTTTCTTCTCAAATCATTTGCTCTTCCTTCATTATTGAAAAATAATATGTTACTGCATACAAGAAGTTGTATTTTCTAGCAAAGCTTCTCACACAGGTAAACCATTATGATGGCTTTGTGGTATGTTAAGAGTGCATGAATAGTTTTGAGAAGCCATAAATTGTTGCTTAAGATGGTTTTGTGCTTTATATTAAGCTTTCAAGAATTTTTTTTCTGAGTGGGGGTTCAGATTTTAAGTTTTTAAACTTGATCAATATATATCTGCTCATTATTGTTATTTTATATGCAATTAAAAATATAACTCATGTGCAAATATAACTGTATAAGAGTTTTATTAAAATACATTCATGGCACATAATTTAGTTTCTTTTAACCAGTGTGAAAAAGTAGAATCCTTATTTACCTTCTGAGTAAAATATTTTAATTAAGCTATAAACACCAGGCTGTAGATTTAATACCTGTCAGGTTTGTGTTAAATTTTTCAATTGCTTTAGCATTTTGACATTTGTTTATTATTACTACTTATTTATTAAGTCTTCTGTTTCTTCTAAAAAGTATTTATTTAACAAATTTATATGTAGTTTTATGAGTGCCAGATAAGTGAACCTATATAAACATTATTGCACTGCAGAAACAAGCAATACAAAAGGCATTTGCTTTATTTAGTTTCCTTTTCTGGAGCAGAAAATAGTACTATGGAGCTGTTGCAGAATCCCAGTAAAAGCTGCAGTTGCTTTAAGAGCTGGAACCAGTACTATCTTTGTTCCACTGCACATTGTGAAGCGTCTTCTCTGAATTATTTCCATAGCATGGGAGAACCCAATAAAATGTGCATTGAATTCTCTGAATGCTACCAGCTATTTCAGATAAACATAAAGCATATTTTAGTTCCATTTTATGTCATGCTCATAACTTACTTCACTATAAGTTTTATAAGCAAGTCCCAAATGTGCTTTTTCAAAACAAAATTGGCCTTTTTTATTTTTCCTTGAAGACATTTCGTTTCTCATCCAAGAAGCTTCTTCGGTTTATAAGCAAGATTTGTTATCCTGAATTCATATGTCAAATTCAAATACATTAAAAAATGAATCAGCCATATTAAGCATGTTGAAAAAAAGTCAGCATCAATAGGGAAACAATGTATTTAGTAAATCAACTAAGTTTTATAATTTTAAGACAAGTCATAAAAATACAGATTATTTTAGTTGATACGTGCATTTTTTAAGATTTTCTATATTTTGTTATGGTTATATTATAGTAATGCATTTACCATACATTTCATTCATTTAACTAATGGAGAAGATCAGACCTTTTACTATTATGATGTTGGCTTACTCCAGTACTTGGATAGTTGATTAACATCCTGGATCAATATGTTATATTGTAATCCTGATACAATTATCTGTTCTGAGGCAATTCTCTTAAAATATTTCTTCAGATGTTCAAGTGGTTTCTGGCACGTTATCATTTTAATTGTCATAGCAATTATTAGTGCCTGAAAAAAATCTTAATCTCCAATACAGAATAAAATTACTGAGAAGAAATATTTTCATTTTAATTCAAGAAAAGAGTTTATTAACACAACTTTAACTGTAGAATGATCATTTTTCCATCACCAAAAAATAAAGAAAAATTATAATACAAATTTACATATTAACAGAAATTTAAATAATCACTAAAATTACAGTAAAACACAGTAACTTTAATGCTGGTTTTTATTTAATTTATAGTATGTCTTGCCATTTATAAATTCTATTTAAATGCTTAATTAGTTGTCAAAATAAAAGAAAATCTACATTAGTGATCCATTAAATAATTAATAAACAAAAAATTGTTAAACTAATAAATACTTGGTTTTTAACCTAAAAGCTTGTATAAAACTGAAAACCCTACTTTCAAAATTCCAGGCTTATTTTTGTGCACATTTTTCCATGAGTGAAAGAAAGGATCTCATTGGTGCTTGGGTCTTGCAAAAATATTACAGAATATATTTACAAAATGAAGTTTGAACTGGGACTGTACACACAATTTATACATATTTACTTGTTTAATTTTTCAAAAGCAATATATAAGATTATATAAATTTTGTCTTTCAATCAAAATGGCTATTCAAATTATCTTTCCCTCCAATAATAAATAAACATATTTATATTTATTTGGCACTGAAATGTCTCCACTACAATATTGTTTTAGTGGTTGACCTGAGAAAGATGTTTTGCTATAAAATCCTAGTGAAAACTATGTTCTATATTGCTTTATTTCAATATAGGTGAGTGCTTCTGTGTCCATTGTGTTGCTTATTTATGGCCAATGGATCAGATATTTCACTTTTTTAAAGTGAAATCTCATTTTCCAAGATGCAAAGTCAAAAAGGGGTACTCATGAATCTGTGTTTCTTTTCATAAATAATTAAACTCATGAGTAAATTTCCTTTAAGGAAATCCCACATATTTTTGTCCTGGTTATTTAGGAAATATGACCATTCCAATTTTTGATATAGCACTCTTTTTTTCAACAGGTATGACAATTCAGCGATCAGAATTACATTCTTGATCAAACTCCTACATTAACTTGCAACCAACCAATCAGGCAATGCCAGCTTTGAGACTCAAACCAGTAAGATCTCTTCCTGCAACTTCAAACCCTGCCACTTCCCCCAATTGCAATCTGGTCAACAAAAAGTTCACCAATAATACTACAATATAACATATATGAATGAATGGTAAATTAGAGGAAATGAATAGTTGAACAACAAACTGCAAATCTATCAAGAATCTTAATCCTAATCTGCCAAATTTTGACTGTTGAATCAGATAATCTGCTTTGTAATCAGATCAATGCAGCTCATTCCATATTTTCTTCTACTGTTTTGTTCATTTATTTCCCAATTTTCAGTCAGTTTTGAAATTAAAGTTTATTTTCCTAACTCTCTCTCTTTGGCATGTTAACACACTCATCAGTCTGAGATTACCAATGTGTAATCTTGATATGACAAGTTGACTGCAGAGACTTCTAACCCTGCACGCTGCTTGTCATGCTTGTTTGTGTATTGTTGAGTCTTGATACAACTTAACAAATGAAAAAGGTGTTTATAATAGCCTAGAATAATAAATAGAAGCCATCATTGCTGGCATTGTTTTTTGAAAACTTTTCTGTTTTGGCTAATGCTCTTAATGTTCTTTTTGTCTTCAGGCCAAAGAGTGTGGTCAAATGCAGAACAAATGGCTCATGATTAATATTCAGAATGTGCAGGATTTTGCCTGTCAGTGTCTCAATCGTGATGTTTGGAGCAATGATGCTGTAAAAAATATTATCCGGGAACACTTCATTTTTTGGCAGGTATGAAGGCATTATTTTCAGTTTAGCTATAAAATTAGAAACAGCCAATATTTATGTACTCTGGCCTTATTCATATCACGTTGTATAGAACTACATTAACTAGTTACATTGTGTCTCAGAATCAAATTTTATTAACAAACACTAAATTGCTTTAATATTCAAATGTTTTCAAGCATTTTAAATGAACCTTCTTCACTATTGTACAGGTATACCATGACAGTGAGGAAGGACAAAGATATATACAATTCTATAAATTGGGAGATTTTCCTTATGTGTCTATCCTGGACCCCAGGACAGGTAAGAAGAGGAAAAAATGCTGAAGGCATATTAAATTTGAACTGTGTTCTTATATAACACAATAAATAATCTCATTGATTTAACAAGGGAAGGCTATAGTTTCCATATTTGCCAGCAAGATTGCCAGAACTGGCTAATTAGCCATGCTTCCAGTCTACATCAGATGAACTTGATCAAGTGTAATAGATTTAATGTTTACATTTAATGTTAAATTAAATTTGCTTTGCCTGTGTTATTTTAAATCCATTTTAATATAATTGGCAATTGTGATACTTTGGATTAAGAGCTTCTAGTTAGCCATTCATTTCTTCTGACTTGTTCGCAATGCTTTTTGCTTCTACAGAATCATTAAAAATTTAAAATAGCATCTGTGTTGATATTGATAATCTAAGTTTTCAATTACTGAAGTACAATTTATTGTTATTTTTAATAGGGCAGAAACTAGTGGAATGGCATCAGTTAGATGTAACTTCTTTTTTGGACCAAGTGACTGGGTTCCTAGGTGAACATGGGCAACTGGATGGACATTCCACCAGCCCTCCCCAGAAACGTACTCGCTCAGTAAGTATAATGGCAAAAACAGTATTTTTTTATTCTTAATAAGAAATAAAAATACTGTGGATCTGTCCAATGACAAAAAAAATACTGGTTAAAAATAAAAGGGTGGTTAGAAGAAATAACATTTCAACAAATAGATTTAAAACCAGAATTGTTCTTACTAGGTATACTGCCAGGGAAATACAACAAAAGAATTACATATGTAATATTACATGTAATTACAGCAGCGAGAATCACATATGCACAAAATTGGAAAAATGAAAGTATACCTATAGATGAAAAAGTAATAAGGAAAATATTAGAATGCGTTGAAATGGACAGGTGAACGATAGATATTAAGAATAGAGGAAACAGTATTGTTTAACATGGGACTTATTGTACAAATAGTTAGAAAACAGATGCAGAAGTTAGTAACTTTATAACTAAAGAAGATTAACAAAATAGAAGTAAATACATATATATTGAGATACATAAGCATATATACTATATGTAATACTACAATTGGATTGTATTTGACTATAGATTAAAAGTGTATAGAGTAACTAGAGGTGAAGACTATGCGGTATAACTATGAAAATAATGGATATAAATGTGTACAATATTATGCATATTCAAAAGAGATTACATTGTATAATTATGAGAATAATGGTCATAATCAGGGTGTATAATATGTATACTTAAAAGAGACTTGATACAGTACACTCATTGCAGAAATGGAAACGTGATGTATAATAAAGAAAAATGTATAATAAAATAATAAAAATAAATAAAAATATTTGGAGCCTTTCTCTTCCCCTCTCACCTTCTCAAAGGTGAGAAAAGTTTTAAAGTAACTTATATTTCTTTTGTGTTATGGTTTATTGATTAGGAGAGCTTAATTGATGCGAGTGAAGATAGCCAGTTGGAAGCTGCAATCAGGGCATCATTACAGGAAACACATTTTGACTCTGAACAAATCAAGCAGGATAGCAGATCAGATGAAGAGTCTGAATCGGAGCTTTTCTCTGGAAGCGAAGAGTTTATTTCTGTTTGTGGTTCTGATGATGATGAACCAGAAAGTTCTGCCAAATCTAGAAAATCTCCACACAAGGATATGGGATGTAGAAAAGAGGAAGGCAGAAAACCTCAACCTGAACCAACATCAAGAACTGAACCTGAAATGATAATAAACCATAGAGGACTATCTTCTGTAGATTCAGGAGTGCTAGAAGAAACTGGAACTAAGCCAGATGACTTACAGAAAGAGCCGAGCATGAATGGTAAGTATAATTCTTGTCATTTAGTCAACTTCAGAGTTTTACAGAAGTCTCATCAAGAAATCATTACCAAACAGTATTTATTTATTTCTGCTGCATTTAATAAATTGAACGAACCTAAGTAGTAAAAAACTATAAATCTGGCTAAGCAGTTCATAACCTACATGAGGGATTACAAATTTGTTGTTTTGTGGAAGTTGGTAAACTATAACTTCCAGCATCTTCTCCAATGCAACTAGCTAGATCTTCTGGGAATTAGCAATATGTATTATTCAATCAAAATATTATATATAATATATCTTGATTAGTATAACAATTTGATAAAAGTGTGCGTGCTAAAATATATAATTTTATATGACTCTACAACACTACCATGAATCACTATTAGCTGAAGGATTTCTTTATAGGGGGTAGTACTTTTTATTTCCATAACTTCACATAATTGTTTCTTGGTTGGGAAAGTGTTATAATACAAAATATTTTTCAACCATAATACATTTATGAACCATAATACATTGTTAAATTATTGGAAGGATATATTATGTATTACGAAGCTAATGAAGATGTGCTTTTCTCCCAGGCTTTGGAAAGAGTGATAGTTGAGTCTGTCTTAGATGGTATATTTGTTTATATATTACTTTAGGTAGTTCATGAATTCTTTTCTAATATTTTTTTAGTTTATAAATTGTAACTTCCCTTCCTTCCTGGTTGTTAGGAGTCAGGTAGCCTCTAAATTTGACTAAATAAGTAAAAGCTTTTCAGTTGCTAGTAACCTAGGGAGTACAGAGAGGAGTCTGCACTTGACAGCTGTTTGTGCCACATTTGTCTTTCTACCTAAAAATAATGAGATACATGTCTCCAGCAAATAAAGCTTATAGCAGTCCTTGAAGAAAGAAACCCATTATTAAAATATTCGCACAACTATTGTGAAAGAGCCACATTTCATCTTTCCTTTTTTAAAAAATGGAGGTAGTATCACTTAAAATGTGGAAACAACTCTTAAGGAAGAAGCCCAGTGTATGGAAATAACAATCAGAATCAAGTGATATAGAAGCTGCTAAAACTCACTTTTCACGTTCTTGAAGATAAAACAAACTCTAAACATTGAGGGGAACAATAAGAGACACTTGATATTGGGAGATAGGATGGAAGTTCCTTAAAGGAAAAAAGAATGTGGTTGTGTCTCATCAGAAAACAAAAAAAAAGAATCAAAACAAATATATGCTGGTTGTAGCCATTGACTTGCCAAGTGTCCTGTCCTGTGAATAAATATAAAGGATATGACAGAGAGCAAATCCCAAGGATGATGATCTCTTCCTGCTAATATATGTGATGACAAATCATGTTATAAGAATTGTTACAACCATATAAACTTAAATCAAAATATTGTGCACATCACAAGAACAAGTAACATACATTTGGTAAAAATTTGATGAGCTTGATTATAGAGCAGAGGTTAGTTAGAATGCAAGTATGGCAGACTAATTCTGTTGACTGCTGGTTGCCAGCAGATTGGCAATCCCACCAGGCTCAAGGTTGACTCAGCCTTCCATCCTTATGAGATCGGTAAAATGAGGACCCTGATTGTTGGGGAAAATATTTGCTGAGAGAGGGCTGTAAAGTGCTATTACCATTGCTATAGTGGGGCTTAAATTGAATTTTATGTGGTGCTTTTAAACAAATTGATATTAATCAGAACAATGGCTCATAATGATCATGGCCTTCATTGTCTATTTTCTCTCAGTATGAAAAAGAACATGAAGTCTGTTTTAAACAATATACATTGCTCAAAAAAAATAAAGGGAACACAAAAATAAAGACATCCTAGATCTGAATGAATGAAATATTCTTATTAAATACTTTGTTCATCACATAGTTGAATGTGCTGACAACAAAATCACACAAAAATTATCAATGGAAATCAAATTTAGAAACCCATGGAGGTCTGGATTTGGAGTTACACTCAAAATTAAAGTGGAAAAAAACATTACAGGCTGATCCAACTTTGATGCAGAACCACTCCTTTATTGGGGATGTCTTGCTAACTGCCTCTGCTTTCCACCTGTTGTCTATTCCATTTGCACAATATCATGTGAAATTGATTGTCAATCAGTGTTGCTACCTAAGTGGACAGTTTAATTTCACAGAAGTGTGATTGACTTGGAGTTACATTGTGTTGTTTAAGTGTTCCCTTTATTTATTTATTTTGAGCAGTGTATTTTAAACAACTGTTTTAATAGTTATACTAAACTGGAATACAGTAATTGAAGGGTAAAAAAAATTAATTCCCACTTAAAACAAAAAAGCAGAAAAACAAATAAAAATGATACATACTCTTGTTGGTCTTTGCTGCTACCTGTGCAATCAAGAGGAAATTGTGTATGACGCCTTTCAAAAGAAGCATATAGTGATGGGAGAGTTTAGTTGCATCAACATCTATTGAGAGACATTGCTGCTTTAGTGACAAATGAAGCTTCATGTTTGTGCTTGAGTTCCTGCCATTGTGCAAACAGAGCTGCATGCACAAACATGTGCTCCTGTCACTTGCGCAGCCCGGTTCTGAACAGGCTGCAGCCCCATACCAGGCCATGGCCCAGGGGTTAGGAACCCTGTTTTAATAAACCAAAAAGTATTTTCCAATTGAGTATTTAGGGGTTGTTTTTTTCTTTGCAAGTTTAAGGACTGATCACTAATCAACCTCCTAAACCTGACATTTTAGAAATATTTTTTTAGTTTTAACTCTTAGTTTTAAACCTACTATATCTTACAATATGGTGGTTATTTCATTATCAAAGTAATAAATGCAAAAACTAAATGCAGTTGTATTTGGCATTTAATGTTTTTTTACCAGGACCAAAAGCACAACTAATGCTAAGATATCCAGATGGGAAGAGGGAACAGATTTCATTACCTGAACAAGCTAAGCTTCTGGTATGTAGAAATAATTAAAACTTCAAGATAGATATAATTCTTGTTTTAGTAGTTACCATTTCTCACCTTTGTGTATAGGTAATAAATATGCATGTTTCAGTTTATTAAGATCTAATTTTGATGAATCTAATGCTATATGGGAACTATGATTGTATTTCAAGATTTACTGTATTTGGATGTTACCTTGTATTCGTATTTATCTTATAGAATATTAAAAGTAAAAATAAAAATCAAATTTAAAAAAATGCAAAAAAAAAACCCCCCACCGTATAAACAGTGTCCTACTAGATCAGATTCTGGCGCATCTAATCTAGCAGTCTGTTCTCACAGTGGAAAACCAACTTGCACAACGAAGCACAGCAATTGGGGGCAGTTACACTGTCCTTAAGGCTAGTAGCCATTGATCCTCAAGATTTCCATGAATTGGTCCAACCCTTTATGAAGTCAACCAAGCAGATAGCCAGTATCACATCTTGCAAAAATATAATTACCTTCGTGTATGGACTATTTTGCATTTCTATTCAACAGCGAAATACCAAGGTGATTTTTACTTTTTTAAAACAATGAAGACAGGTATACTAAGCTTCCCATTTTGGGTTGTAAGTGTCCCACAGAATCCCTATGTTAACCCAAAACTTCAACCATGTCCTTTCACTTGTATTTCTTCTGCCACCTGTCTTCCCCCAGCCGCCACCACTAACCACATCAAAATTAGAAAGTAATACACACACACACACACACACACACACACACACACACACGTCTTGTATGAACCTCTATGGGCAGTTGATGAAATTTCTTTATATTTGTTGCTTTCATAATCAGCCAAGGGATAGAAAGTAAAAAAAAAAGTGTGTAATTTAGTTTGTATCTTTCAGACTGTGCTTTCTCCAGTGTACATGGTGTACATAGATCGCAAACTAGTGTCTATAAGTAGTATTGGTTATTAACATAAAGGGGAAGAATAAATTCTGTTTATTTGCTAAAAAGTATTTTCAGAATAGAACTGCAGGGATTCAATTACTGATATGCTGATTCAGCAAAGTCTTTTGAAAATCAGCCTAAGTATATCATTTGGTATTTCAAAGAATCAACAAATAATTGTATACAAACAACATTATAAACAATAGTTTTTCTATTATTTAACTGAATGCCTTTCAAGTTTTTCCCAATTTTTTTAACTTCATATGCCTGTAGCATACAAATTTGTGTTGATATATCCTCCAGTAACAGATACTGTATTGTTTTAATTACCCCATTAAGTTCTGTGATCAAAATAGTTATCTCCTGTTTCTCTGCAGGCTCTTATCAGACATGTACAGTCAAAAGGATACCCCAATGAACGTTTTGAACTCCTCACCAACTTTCCCCGGAGGAAACTTTCCCATTTGGACTATAACATCACATTGCAGGAAGCTGGTCTTTGTCCACAAGAAACTGTATTTGTTCAGGAAAGGAATTAATTTCCTCCCTTGTCATCTCCACCTACAGTACTAACTCAGTACATATGCAGAATTGAAAGCAAGCAGCCATTTCTCTCCCATTCTTTATGCTATTCTTAACAAGTGAACCAAGTGAAATTGGCAGAAAAAGTTCATTGATGCTGGAGGAAGGCTTATGTGTTCAGTGGTTTGTTGCTGTTTCAAAATAAAGTTGCCTATACATCCAGCATGCTGCAGAAGAAAACTCCCAAGAGCAAGAACAATTTTCTTCCCCTGAGAAAAAGATATCTGTTTTCTTTAATACATTCATTTTTCAGAGATCATATAACCAGGCATTAAGGAATTTTTCAGACAACCATGTCAACATGTGCAATATATCTACATGGAAGATATTTTGTGTTTCCAATTGACATGTGCATTGTTTGGTTTTCAGCATGGGTTCTTTTTCCTTGGGTTCCACATGTTCTGAAATTAGAATGCTTCCTACTGTAACTGCTGCTGGTTGTATGTGATAAATTGTTACACATTTATGTGCACAGCTTTTTAGGAAAGAACCACAGGCTTTAATGACTATGTGAAGAGATTCTGTGTTTTGGCTACAAGTCAAGTAAAAAACAAATGATGTGCTAGATTCATTGCCCAAGTAACCTTTCATAAATCAGTGACATTGCAGAAGGGGCTGTAGAATATGGAACATGAAAGTTGTATTTACTGCTTTTGGTAGAGAGGAATGTGGTAATAAAGAAAAATAATAGATGTACTTAGTAGTATAAAGTTGCCTTGTGTAACCCAGAACTGCAGGCTTCTTCCTTTTCACAATTAAAATTGTAGAAAGGGAATTGATTTCTCTTTTTTTCTCTTCAAAATATTGCCAGAAGTGAAACAGTCATAAAGGTTGAATGTAAAACTTTTAAAACCTCTTCTTAATGTTGTTTTCGTTCACTATTCTGCCATTTGGATGTTTCTCCCATTGACATTTAGTGAATGTACAGAGATTCTGGGCCCCAAGCAAGAATCTTTTTTTCAGAAATTTTGAAATATTTTTGAGTAACAATTGAATTTAATTACATTAATAAAATTTAATTTAAGTACAAAGCAGTAAACATGGTTTCCCAACAAGAAATATGATTTGAAAAAAATAAGAAATAGCTGTTTGCCATCATTTGTTCTAAATGGCCAAAAAATTATAGATATGTTCCAAATACAATGGCAGCTGAGTGTTGGATCATTGGGATCTGATAATATTTGGCATCAAACTAGTAGGATGGGTTGTATTGCCATTACATTTGATTAATCCCTGTATGTGAATTTAAGGATTAAAGATATTTATACTGCATTGTAGAATGAAAACATTTCCCTACTTATTTTTTTTCCTGTACAGATACTAGTAACAGATGTAAAACAAATGTAGCATGGATTAATAAGTATTTTATAAATAGGCCACAATTGCTTTTATGTTCAATCAAAACCATGCAGCTATTACATTCCTAAATTAATGGAGACCCAGCAATATGCTCAGTAATGGATCAAGCTTTAAATATGAAATGGTTTTGAACATTGATACCTACAAACATTGGGGGCATAGGTAAAAAGAATAGTGAAGGTTAATGCTGTAGGTAGTATTCTGTTAAAATTTATCTAGATGCTTGTATCAAATACTAACTGTTGTTGCTCTTATCTTTTTTTTTAAAAAACAAATTTTATTAATTTTCAAAGACAATACACAAACAAACAAAACATAAAACGTAAGAACATAGAACATCTTTTAAGAAAGCAAATAAAACATCTTATTTAAGTACAGCATAGTTCCAAATTATCCCATTTCCATACAAACACAATTTAATATGCATCTTATATATTCAGCTTCATATCTTACTACTTTTTTTTCAACTTCTCACTATTTTTTCTTTACTTCTATTCAATTTTATTCATTAAACTTATACTTTCATCTGTCTTATTTACAATTTCATATGTTCTCATCCAACAATCTTAATTCTCAATAAACAAACATAAACAAACAAAACACGTAACATGAAAACATAAAACTTCTTTTTAGAAAGCGGCTTAACCCCGGGTTACATCTTTTTGTACAGACATAAATCAAATTCATGCTCACCTTATATACTATTTCAATCTTATTTAACATTCTATATTTTCTATATGTCTTCTCCCCTCTTTTCACTCTCTTAATTCTATTTTATTTACTTCATCTCAATTTAAATCATTATACTTGTATCTTTTGTCCGTTCTTTTTCAATTGTCTATTATCTTTTCTCTTTAATACAAATTTTTTCCTGTAATCAGTGGTTGAAGTATGACGCCTTTCTATCTTTCCCCCAATTTTAACACTTAAAATAATACATAATTTCCATTCTGATTCTACTTAGTACATTCTAAATAACATTTTAAAATAAAAAATCATAATAAGCATAATATAGTAAAAACAATGTTCCATAACAAATTAATTAAACTCTATTATTAAATCTTAGATATTTTACACATAGATATTAGATATTATTAAATCTTAGATTTTTTACACATTCCCTACAATATTCTATTAACACATATAATATTCCAGTTTTCTAACTCTATTTCAAATACGAATACTACGATATAATCTTGTGTACTTTTGCAGAATCTTTTTAAATTGTATTTTACCCTTTGTCTCTAAAAACAACCTGTTTGTTAACATCTTGTTTTAAGCCTTTATAACTTTTTTCCCTTCCTTTCTTGTCGAATCTAGCCTTTTTACCCCCCCATCTCTCAATCTCCACCCTTTTAGTCTCCCCTCTCTGTTGTATTCCTCTTTTCTGTTGCTTTCTGACATTATATCGATTTTTCACCTTATTTTTCCCTTCCTTGGTTGTTTTTTTAGATCTTGAATTCTCCATTTTCTTTCCCCCTTTTCCCTTTTCTTCATCAACTAAAATAGTTTGTCCATTAAAGATTGCTTCTTCTTCATCCCAGCTTTCTGATTGCTGTATTTCCTGATAGGTAGAAATCGCCATTTCTAAGAAGTGAAAAACAGTTCCAGAAGAGCCCTTGCCGCCTTGTTCCTCTTCTTTTAGCTTTTTAAATTCCATTTTCAATTCTTCCACAGATAATGCCATTGTAAGATATATATATATATTTATTTATTTTATTTTTTTAAACAATCCAAGTGTTTTTAGACTTTCAAAAAATAGTTTACAAAAGTTCCAAAGTCATCAAGCAATCCAAATCAACACAAACTGTTTCATTTAGCACTTTCTTGTTTTAATACTTTCTCTTCCTGGGGTAGAGTTCAATTACACAGTTCCAAAATGATTTTTTAGAAGTCTTATTGCAGTTTAATCTCTGATCTTATAAACTCCAAGCAGTCTCCTCCAGCAGAATTTTAATATAAATCATTTGCCTCTCCCTTCCCACTTATAGCAAAAAAAAAAAAAAAAAATGATTTTTAAATATCAATGTTCAGAAATCTTTAATGTCCCCTTGGCTTTAATTTTCAAAATTAGTTACCTTCTGTTGCCAAAGCGGGTGTTTCCGATTTCCATTACTATCTCCGTAGGGAAGGAGAGTGAAGAAAAAAAACACTTTCCCTTTTCACTTTCATCCACAGCTTTTTATGATCTTGGGAAATAATGTATCCTTTAGAGAGCTAGATTTCTAGGGTGTTCAGATGTTACTTATTGTCCCGGTTCAGCCAAAAACTTTCACTTTCTCCACTTCCTCCTGCACAAAACTTGTCCAGCTGAGAAGTTCTTTGTGGCGGCCATTGCTGACCGCCGCTCCACCGCCTTCGGAAAAGGGAGTTTAGCCGGCTGAGGAAGGGGGTTGCGATGCCCCCAGACCCCTGTACGGATCTCCCCTATCTTCAGTTATCCCTACAGGATAACTATAGCCTCCAAATCCAGCTGGATCGGAGGCACTCCAGCAGCGAGCGCGGCAGGGATCACGCACAAACGCGAATTCCTGCCGCCGCCGAAGCCAGACAAACCGGAACTCTCATCTTTTTTTTTTTTTTAACCACCTTTCATCCTTTATTTTTCCTTCAATTTTGTTGTGACCTTTCCTCCTGCCTTACCTTTCAGAAATCTTTTAAAGTTCTTGGTCTGCTCCAGGAAACAGAAACTTTATCTTACACATCTTCCATTTATTGATTTTTATTTTTATCCTTAAAATAGTCTGGAAGTTAAATCATGGTAACTGGAATTCTTTTTGGTTTGAAACCTTTTGCTGCTTATTCAAGTAGCTTCTTCAGTCTGAAGATAAATAGTTTACAGAATATCCTTTAAATAGTTTAGCAGAGTAGCTGAAGGCCTTATGAATTGTGGTTCTAAGACATTCTGAAAAGGGGAGAATTGTAGAAAGCGTCTTCCAAGCAGAAAAGCAGCACATAAATCTTAATTAGGGACAAAATTATTATAATTGGATAGTTTAAAAGTTATTGTTACTAGTATTTTTACAGGTTTTTGTTTTAAATATTACTGTTCAAGGAATGTGGATACGGGTTATGTAAAAGAAGTTGTGAATCTATGCCTGATTCTAGATTGTCCTCTTTTGTCTCTTAAACATCATTCCATCTTATGTAAAATAAGATGGAAAACAGTATAAAAAAAATGTATACTGTTGTTTCTAAAAATACAATTTTAGTAAACACAATAGAACCCACTGGGGATTCTAGTGTTTCAGTCCTATTTCAGTTTGCTATTGAAGCAGATTAGTGATCATAGAGAACTTCGAAATGATCTTTGGAGGATCCATACACATAACTAAACAACAACACATTCCTGGCAGTTGGAATTTAGGGAATATCTAAACATCAATGATGTTTGATATAATTGACAAGCCTGCCATCTGCAAAATCATTTGAGATAAGCTCCTCATTGTCATTGTTTCACTTTTAAATATGTGGCATTGCTGCAGGTGTAATATTAGAAGATGAATTCAAAAGGCATTCCAAAGTTTTCAAATGAAAGTTTATCTGTTTGGAGAAATTGATATATTAATATCAATATTTAACTTTGGAGGATGTGATTTGGATTCTGATAAAATTATGGTTCCTTCAAAACATTTAACTTTTTAAAGTTGGATTGCTAGCTTTATATTGTTATAGCTTGAGCTATGTAAAACTGTTGTCTACCTTTTTACCAATAATAGAAGCCATTTCTTTTAATTATGATATAATTTTAAAATGAATGGGGGAAGAGATGTCACTGGCTGTGATAAGAATGATCAAACTCAAGGCAACCTCTGATCTATATGTACAACTGCTGCATTTTTATAAATATGTGTAAATGTCCTTCCTAATGTAATATTTTGATCCTGAAAATAAATCAGACATTTTCACTAGTTTTTAGTCTGTTTGGTGTGTGTGGAATGGGGGGATAGAAAAGGAAGGAAGGAAGGAAAATACTTTTTGGAGTGGAGGTTTATTGAAAATAAAATCAAGATATTACACAAAATCAAATATCTTCTACACATTAGATTAACAAATAGTTATAATTTCAGCCCAGTCATCTGAAGGTATTTCTTAATCAGATGCTAGTGAGTATATAATTAGTAAGTGCATAATGCCAAATAAATATTGTATGATTGTATTCACTTGGTTACTTTTAGATATCAA